CGCCTCTGTCACCACCATCTATGAGCTGCCTTGTGGCTGCTCCACACTGTCACCACTGCCGTGCTGGGCAGCCCAGAGGTGGTGGTGACAGAGCTGCAGGGCAGCCTGGCATGGCGCAGCCTCTGGGCGGCCACACCAAAAACTGCCCAGCGGTGGTGAGGGGAGCATCGCTTTCCCCTGCACCGAGCAGCAGTTTCTGTCCAGCTGCTGCTCAGCCTGGACAGGCAAGCCTGGAGCTAGCACGGGGCATGCAGGGTCACGGCTGTGCGTGCTGCTCCCTGCCGCTACACCTGCATGCCCAGGGGTGGCAGGACATGCTGTGGCCAGGTGGTGCAGAGTGGGTGCAGGGTGTGCTGGGACTGCGCGCTGTTGCGTCCCAGGGCGCTCAGGCTCTGAGCTGTCGGGTGGGGGAGGGTGCAGACTGGCTCAGGGTGGCGTGTGACGGGGCATGCAGGGTCACGGCTGTGCGTGCTGCTCCCTGCCGCTACACCTGCATGCCCAGGGGTGGCAGGACATGCTGTGGCCAGGTGGTGCAGAGTGGGTGCAGGGTGTGCTGGGACTGCGCGCTGTTGCGTCCCAGGGCGCTCAGGCTCTGAGCTGTCGGGTGGGGGAGGGTGCAGACTGGCTCAGGGTGGCGTGTGCAAGGGGGCTCCCCATGCACACCCCATATACCCTCAAATCCTTCCACAGCCACGTCCTTCCCTAGACAATCACACACCCCACAAATACTGTACCCATCTACACACATCCCCACAAACCCTCCATACCCATCCACACACACCAACAGCTCCCCACACCCACCCACCCATACCCCTGATACCCTACACAATATACAAGAGTAATACTGCATTTTGAGCTATTATGCAATTTCTTCTACATATACAGCACAAATCCACACAAATCAGAGCAAAAATATATATTTTTTAATTAAATTAAAATATATTATGGGTGTTTGATTTTTAGTATATAATTTGTTTTTTTCCTTGTTCTAAGATGGCAAACCCTCTTTCCCAAAGGAGTAGTTTCAGGGGCAATGGGAGGGACTTCTGGTGGCAAAGGTCAGAGGTTAGGGGTGGGACTTCAGTGCCAAGATGGTGACCAGGGCAGCGGGGCATCTGTCAAGAGGCAGGGCTACCCATACAGCCCTCAACAGCTTGCCAAAACTTGGTAAGCGGCCCTCTACCCAAAATAATTGCCTGCCCCTGGTCTAACATCAGGCCAGGATGCAGCGACCACATTTCTTGATATTATAAGAGACTGCTTCCTGGAGCAGTTAGTCCTAAAACCTACAAGAGGAAAGGCCAATCTTGTCCTGCTTCTAAGCAGTGCATAGGATTTGGTGCAGAGGGTTTAACTGAGTTGCTCAGCAATAGCTACTACAATTCAATTGGGTTTGACGTCCATGTAGGAGGGGTGACAAGAAAATCCATAGTAGCCCTTAACTTTAAAAAGGAGACTACACCACAATGAGGAAGGTAGATGCACAGAAGTTAAAAGGGGGCCCTAAAGCAGTGAGGAACTTGCAAGCAACATGGGACCTTCTTAAGAACACCATATTGGAGGCACAGAACAGAATCAGACCAAAAGAAAGCCGGCATCGTTTAATGGCAAAGTTGCAGAGGCAGTAAGCAGAAAAAAGGTGGAAGTCAAAAAGTAGAAGTCAAATACCAATGAGGAAAATAAAAACCCCCATAAACTCTGGCAAATCAAATCTAACACACTAATAAGACAACCTGAGAGAGAATTTGAGAAGAAACTTGCCAGGGACACAAGGCAACAATAAAAATTTATTTAAGTACATTAGAAGCTGAAGACCTGCCAGGGAGTCATTTGGGTCTTTGGATGATCAGGGTATAAAAGCAGTGCTAAAGGATGACAGGCCCATTGCTGAGAAATCAAATGCATTCTTTGCATCTGTCTTCACTGTGGAAGATGTTACGGAAATTTCATCACCAGATCCACTCCTCTCTAAGGACAGGTCAGTGCAGCTGACCCAAATTGAGGTTTCAGTAGATGAGGTTGTAGAGGAAATTGGTAAACTAAACAGTAGCAAATTATCAAGACTGGATGGCATTCATCCCAGGGTCCTTAAATGCTGGAGCCCTTAAATGCTGGAGGCTTTAAGTGAGAGAGGAACAGTGGAAAAACCCTCTGGTCATACCCAGTTCACTCTCCCTTTTCAGCATCCACACTGCCACTGTGTGCCAGAGGATTCCAGGCAAGGTGGACCTATGGTCTGATCCAGTAAATGGCAGTTCTTGTGTTCTTATTTCTGAATTTCTTTTTTCCCCTTTTTATTACCTTTTTTGGCTGCTGTGTGTTGTTTATATATAAGCCATGGGGGGAAGAGGAGGTGTTGCAGCTGTGTTCACCCGGGCGAGTTTGGTCCAGTTCCACATTATGGCACACTGTAACGATATTATATATAGCACTACAGAAAAAATGTAGCAGTGCTGAATGTGGACACACAACAATTAATCTGTTCTAAATGCAGTTTAAACTAGAAGTGGGCAGACCTGTACGATGTTTAAATAGGTCTGAAAGTATCCAGAGCTTTTCAGAAATGTACCTGGAAAAAACAGGTAGTTTCTTTGCCCCGTTTTATTTTGAACTCGTCCACGTTCTGTCTGCATGCCAAGCAATCTCCAGTACGGGTCTGCTTGGTTCTTCAGGCGTTACACAGTACAGCACTCTGTATTCCTCCCACTGCTGCATCTGTCTGCTCTGGGACTCAGGCCGAACTCTACTTACCCTGGGATCAGAGGTCACATTTGGCTGTGCCCTACTGACATGTGATCACAAAGTCAAGTCACCCATTTATTGCCACACTGGCAAAAGATTTGGGACATCACTGCTGCCAGTGCCCTTCTGCTTGAGAAGGCATGTGCCCATTTCTTGTGCTGCTGCCTGGCGAACAGTTGTGGCCCGCACTGTTTAATTACACATTACCCAGCAGTGTTTCGAAGGGCACCCATTGGTTTGGGCATGTTTCAACCCATTTAGTTTCCACAATATCTGCTCCAGCATCATCCAGCTCATCAGCCAGGCATGCCAACAGCTGGAGCCGAGAGGAGGTGCTTGACCTGCTTCTCATTTGGGGCAATGAGGAAAGCCAGCAGGCGCTGGTAAAGCCACCACGACCAGGCTGTGTATGAGTGGATAACTGCAGAGATGGCAGCTTGGGAGCACTGCTGGAGCTGGCACCCATGCCATGCCAAGACCCACATCCTCAAGCTGAGGTACAGGAGGGCATAAGATACCAGTTGGGTTTTTGGTGCCAACTGGGTCACCATTGTGAATTATGAGGAGCTACTGAAGGTCCTTGCAGGGGACGACCTCATTCAGTCCCATTACACTGTGAACATAGCTTACCATGTGTACTCCAATGCCAGCCAGGACAATGGCGAGGGACCTGCTATAACCTGGTGACTATAGGCAGAGACTTGGTGTAAGAGTAGGGAAGATCACAGGTTTCAACCCCAGGATGGGAAAAGCTAGAGGTGCATGCATTCAGATAGACACGGAAGGGGTCTGACATGCAGCTAGCCTGAACCCTGCCCATGACCACCAGCTACTGCAACTTTTTTGGTTAATAGTTAACAGCTACCCCATTTGGTGTGATGTAGGAACTTGCAGTTATTCTTCTAAGCCCTAGTATCATGAGCAAGTACCACACAATGCTTGGCCTGCTCAATGGAGTTAAGCATCTTTTTATTCTGCTTCTGCATTTTAAGCTATCCACATGGGAGGGTGGGGTCTTCAAGCTGAACAGCCTCTGACATGTTAGAAAGGATTCCCCTGGTCCACACCAGTTCTTCTATGTGCTAGATGTGAGAATGCCAGCCCCCACCCCCTGTCCCTGTGGAGGGGAAGAGTTGAGAGACATTTGCCATAGCTGGGTGATCCACAGGAAGTGTCCAGAGTTGCTGCTGATCCCCAGGAGGGGCGTTACCTCATCCAGGTGTGGCTTGCACCCAGCTCTGCTTCCTGCCCCAGCCCAACCAGCCCAGCCCTTAGAGCCAGTCCTTAAACCCAAGTTACAGATCCAGCTTGCTGACTTCTCTTATCTACATTGTTCTGACATGCCATGCTCACACTTAAGTCCACAGCTATGTATGCAGCAGGTGAGAACATGGGATAAGTTTTAAAAACAAGGGCTAAATTGAGACTACCTTTGTCAGTCTGTTTTCCTCTTATTGCTAGTTGTGGGATTTTGGATTGGGGTGCCAGATCTGATTGATTTGGTGGCATTCTGGTGACCTCACTGATGTGTAATCTGATATGTGTCTTCAGCTGGATAAGTGAAGAGAATAGTCTCCCCAGTTAGAAAGGAGGGCAGAGGGCAGTGTTGGATTCAGAAGTAACTGTGGAAATATCCTGACCTCTTACTTCATGGGGAGAGGATCAGTTGCTACTCTTGGGGAAATCGCTTCATGACAGTAATTCTCCTACTGCTGATGTTTGTTTGTTTCTTATTTTCAGGCTTTTCTTGCCCAGTGTGATACAGTTGAAGGAAATATCGGTCAAGAAATGGATAAACTACAATCAAAGAACTTGGCACTGGCAGAATGAGGCATCACTCTACCTAGGAGAAATAATTGCTCTATGAGCAAGAAGAAAAGTTTGCTCTTTGTTTTGGAGCACATAATCAGCTTTTTTTTTTTTTTAGCCCAGTCTATTTCGACGGGAACTAGTCAGTCATTACTTGCTGGTTGTCACATTTGCCACTCGGTTAAAGCTGTTCTTTCCAAAAGGAAAAAAAATCCTTTTTTTCTTCAGAAATCCTTCCTGAAGAAATAGAGAAATGTTTTTGTGGTGGGTGGTCATGTATTATTATTAACTCAATATTGTATTATGTTATAAAATTCCCTTGGGAGGGCAAGTTTGGACCATTATTTTCTCTCTTCAGTGTCCATAATGTTTTAAATTAATTTGCAGCTTGGAAATCAAAAAACAGGTTTGGAAACTTTACAATTTACATCATTTCAGGTGTAAGACTTGATCTAACTTTACTGAAAAAGGCAAGCTGAGACAAGAGTTGGGAAATCTACTATTCTAATAGCATTCTTTTAGAGCAATAAAAAATACCTGACATCCATACCTATTTAATACTTGTTTATGTTCATAAATATAGGAAAGCTTGAGTACAGTGGAGGTGGTGGCTATTTTAGCCTTAAATTGTCTTAAAAAATGGAACATACTCTAACATGTATGGTACTAATTTATAACTACTGTTTTAAATTTCTGTGAGCTTCTTGATACTGTTGTTTTTCTTTATACACATTTCTGCTATACTGTGTGTATTTATAGCATATATATTTTTCTGCAGTGCTAGTAAAAATGTGATGCTGTTCTTACAGAAGGGGGATCAGTTAAAGCAAGCTGTGGGATTGGAGCTATTTTATCAGTTTTCTTTGAGTTCATGATGCTCTGTTTTAATGCAATGATTATTTTTAATCCCTTGAAGAGAGTAAGTGGATGAATATATACATAATGTGTTTTACAAGGTGACATTTCAACACTAGTTGTTTTTTGGTGTTTTTTTTTTTAAATACACTGCCCAAGTTAGCTTCTCCATAAAGAGAGCTGCCCTTTTACAGCTGCCTGTAACAGAAAGACCCATCACATACATATCCAGTGCTTTGTGACAAAGGAAGCAGTGACCAGTGGGTCCTGAGCCTTTGACAAGCTTGAGTGCCCTCAACTCATGGGAGTCAGGGGAAGTAGAATATGTTCAGGACAGGCCCTCAGATAAATGCCTGAGTATCTCTCCTTTCCAGGTATGTTAAGGTAAAGTCTCTTTACAAGGAAAAATGTTAAGTGTAAAGAATTAAACAAATCCTAATAAAGTAAGAAACCTCAATGTGGATAGTCCTCCAATATGACTCAAATTCCTGATTGGAGGACACTTCCCTAGTGATGAACTGTCATCAGAGAGGTGTGGAGTACATCTGTGTTAAAAGTAGTAGCTGATAACTTACCACGTGTACGTGGATGAAGTGACCATTTTTTTCCAGTTAAATGGCAGTTTTCTATCAGCTTTTCATTTTAAACAATTTTCAAGGTCTGTAGAATATTTTAATAAGCTGGAGCTTGACAACCACTGTTGGTTAAGATGATTTATTTGGTGTTTCTCAGCATCAATGTTTTTATAAGAATGATTTTTAAGATTAAAAAATCCTGACGTTAGGACCATGATGTCAGCTTTTAGTACTGGCATCATAGTCTGCCATGTTCACATGGCCCTCCTGTATTAGAGGAGAAGACTTCTAGTCATTCCTATGGAGCCTTGGTTAAGTATAGCAAAAGTATTGCTGCCTCTTGGCCAGATCTTGCTAGCACTTAAACCAATGGCAACAGTCCCATTTAATTCTGTTAGCCTCCATTATTAGGTGGTAAATTAGTCCTCATCTGCTCCAAAGGTAAATGTTTTAACTACTTACATGTTCAGGGGTGTCTGTAGTATAGCGGAGTATGTCGTTCTCTCCTGGTCAGGGCACGGGTTGCATCTAGCTCTGTAACTTCTTTCTGTCCTGAGCAAAAGCAGTCAGATCTTTGTAGTATCAAGGCAGTTCAGTAATAATGGGCAAAGACTTCTTCACTTACTGTAAATGTTAAGTGAAATTTATTAAGATATACTGTAAGATACTAATTTCTGACTGAAGAATTTGAAGAACATGGGCATTTTGTTGCATCTGTTTTCAGATTTATTATGCACTGAAAGTTGTTATTTTGATAACCAAATGTAAGAATGGGTTAATTATTTTTTTAACAAATGAATGACTTTGCATGTAGCAAGCTTCCCAAAGATTTTAGTGTGGCTTGACTAGCGAATAATAATAGTTTCTGAAGTATGAGGTTTACATTTGATTTCACCTTCCCCATAACACTGGCCTTAATCTTTTGGGGTGGGGGGAGGAAAAACAATATTTTCCATATTGGCAAAAGTGAAATGAACTATTTTTGGAGAAGGGGGAGTATAGGAAAAAAATTGAAATCAATGGGAATTTGGAAGAATAAGATGGGATTCTGAAATCAAACTTAAGCAATACTCCTATTAATTATATAGGATAGGCACACTACCCATTCTGGTACTGAATCAACTTTCCTTTACTTTATAGACCTTTCCCCTGTCTCGGAAAGTAAATAAGTTATTTGCTTGGTATTCAATTCACTTATCTCAGTATTTTGTACCAATTATTATTATTTTGGATCTGTTTGCACATTTCAGGTTGACATGCATGCAGTGTCTTTCATAGAAGACAACCTGTATTGGAAGTTGCGAGTAAAACAACGCCTCTCTACTTTCCCTCCCACAAGTCCCCTTTTGGCTGCAATATGATGTAAACCAAAACTGACATCCTTAGAGCTGTAGAACCTCAGAGAAACAGGACTTCTTGTTCATTAACTCTGAAGAATAACATAAACATGTCAGACTTTTAGTGGTGTTGTCTATGACTCAAGTTCTGTAAGTTACACTATTGTAAATCTGGAGTAATGCCTTTGTATTCATCAGTGTTGCTCCCAATTTGCAGTGGTCCATGTAACAACATAGAATTTGTTGGGATACTTTGGTTAACTTATTTGTGTCACAGTGAATGAAGGGAAAAAAAATAAAATGTGGAAAATGCAATTAGTTTCTGTGCTGTCTGGTCCTTATGATGTCATGGTTCTGTAGAGTATGAAATTAAGCTGATTAAGTAGGGATCCAGATTTTCTGACTGCTGTGGAAAAACATGGGTTTTCTCCTTTAAAAGAGAAAATCATAGATTTTCCCATTTAAAGGAGAAAAATGCAAGAAATGATGGGTTCACCTTTGCAAACTGGCTGAGTTCCAGCCTGCAAGGGGTTGTGGGGAGTGGATGGAGAACAATCAGGGCAGGAGGTGCCACATTCATGTGCGGACCTTTACGTACATGGCAGCCAGGCAGTGCCGGGGAGCAGCTTTTACAGCTGTCTCCAGGTAAGTCTGTGTGGGGGGAGGAAGGAGCACAGGCCACTGTTGGGGGGGGAAGAGGAACAAACCATGTTGGGGGAGGGACACACAAGCCATGTGGGGGCTGGGGTGGGGAGCAGTGGTTTGGGAGTGGAGGGCACTGTTAGGGCTGTGTGTCGGGAACTAGGGGCACTGGCAGGGCCATGGTCTGTGGGTTAGGAGTGAGGGGCAATGGCACAGACAGGGCATTGCGTATCAGGGCTGCTCAGTGCCACAGTGGCATCCTGGTGAGTGAAGGGGGCAGGGGGAGCTCTGATTTTCCATGATAAAATCAAATGCCAAAATGTATTGCATATTTAGAGTTAATTTTATAACTGATTGAGCCACTGGTAGAATTCCAACTTGCTTTAAAAAAAGTAAATATATCAATAAAACTGTGTTCAACAGCTACCTACAGATATATAGTGGCATTTCATTTCAATCACAGAAAAAAGCGGATTTAAGGCTTTTTAAATTGGAGAATTTAATTTATGCATTTTTATCGGAGATTGTGCGATTTTTAAACAGAGAAAACGGATCCCAGACATAAATCCATTCCCCACTGGCATCAAAGGGGCGCAGGCCAGTCTACAGCTGAGAATCCACTTTCACTGAAGTTATAGTATCGCAGCTCTTAGATGTTTGGGCCTTTTTTTAGAAAGGTTGGTACTCGTAGGCACGAACGTCGTGTGCCTCCCGAGGTTGGGAGTGGGGGGGGCACGGCGGCAGCTCCCGCAGACGGCCATGGCGGTGTCAGCGGCCGGGCGCGGGCGCGAGCACCGACCGGTGATGGGCGACCATCTGCAAACCGGCAGCGGCCAGAGGCGATGGGGGGGGGGCAAGCACCGACTGCCCACAGGTGCTGCCATCAGTGTCAGGTGGCCAACCTCCGCGTCGCCGATGCTGTAAGGTGTACAATAACGTGCGTCACCTATAGAAATCCCCGCGATGCGTGTAAACGTTTGGCAAAAAAATCCCTTTTAGAAAGAGCGAAGTGTAAGGGATGTGACAGCCGGGATCTCCGAAGCAGCCACGGTCTGGGGCTAAAAGCAGCGGTGTCTCCCGCTGAAAAGCTGGTGGCAGCATTTCTTTCTCCCGCTGCTCGGGCGCCTCAGCTGGCGCGCTCGACGCGGTTGCTCCGAGGCCAGGGCCGTGGGCAGAAGCTGGGCAGGGCCGTCTGCAGCCGGGCGGACGCTCCCTCTGCGGCTGCCTGAAGGACGTTTGTGCTCGCGAAGAGGAATTGTTGCAGCCGTTGGGGTTGGTCTAATAAACGGCAGCGGCTTCACCCGAGCAGCCTGGGCTGCTGCAGTCCTCGGGACTTTTGTCCCTGTGCCTCGGGCAGGCTCGCCCAGGGCAGCAAATTCACCCCTCGCCGCTCCGCTGTCATGTGACAGCAGCCAGGGGCGGGGCTCCCCGCGGCTCTGCCCCCAGCTCCCGCGCCGCTCCAGGCCCCGCCCGACGCGTTGTTGTCTTCCACGGACCGGAAGTGGCGGCGATGGTATTTCCGGGTGGAAGATGGCGGCCGCGGCGGGCCGGAAGCCGGTGCGGCAGGAGGAGCTGCGACGGCTCATGCGAGAGAAGCAGCGTGCGGGCGCGGGCAAGAAGCGTGTCGAGTCGCCCTTTGCTAAATATCCTGCTCTGGCCGCGCCCGCAAGTCGCCGGCCTGTGCGCAGGGGCGGGGCCAGCGGGTCCCTCCCACGCCCTGGGCTGGCGCGCTCCGTGTTGGGGGGGGGGTTCTGTCCTGCCCCGGGCCGTCCCGGCGGGTGGTGCTGTTGTGACGTCACAAGTGCGGGGGCTCTCGGGCTCCCCTAGGTCTGCAGCGCCCGCGCGGGTCCGGCCCGGCCCGGGGTGCCTCATGTCCCCTTAAGTGCCTCAGGTTGGTGGGTGACCCCCCAGAGTCCCCCCTTTTCCATTTGAGTTTCACGTTGCCCTTGGAGAACATGTGCATTGTACAGCCACTCGCTCCTCAGGTGACACGGGCAGCCTCGTGCATGACATGCGCAGGTCCAGAGGTGACCGGCACAGGATTGGAGATGGGGCAGGGAGCAGAAAGCAGCTGGTCAGACAGAGGAAGGCATGAGAACTGCTCCGGGGGGGGCAGGGGTTTAATTGGCACACCTGCCTTGCTGAGTAAGATTGGACCGGCCCTTCACTGTGTTCAAGCATCTGTGTCCTTCAGAGCTTTGTCATTGCTGTGTTTCTTTAACTGGAAGCTCCACATACAACCGCTTAGGGCATCTAAGCTGCACTCTGTGCAACATGCAGATTAAGAATGAGCTGCTGTGGCAAACACACGTGCTTGGGAAACAGCACAAAGAGGTGAGACTTGCAAAACAGCGGTTTTTCTCAAGAGTGATTTGTGGCTTCTGCTCTAGTAAATAGCATAACACGTAGCTTAGGTAGCAGGCAGGGTGAAGAAGACTTGTCATGAGGTTTATGGGCAGTGGGGGCTCCTAGCCAAGTCTTCAAGTAATTATTTTTACTAATTATTCACTTTATTGTTAATTTTAAAACAGCTAATTATCACTTCATTTGCATATGGGATCCAATTTGTTGCTACAAAAGTCTGTTTGTATCTTCAACATTTGTCTTTAACTTTACAGTTAGTTACTCAACAGATCATTACTATGTAAACTTTCAAGCAATAAGCATTTGATTGTATTAGTCTTTTCAGGGTGCATCCATGTTAGGAAAAAGGATGTGTTCATTTTAACCATATAAACATGATTTATTATGTGTTTTTCTTAGTCTTAGCTAACCATATGTTAGCTAAAACTAAGATTTTATCAAATATTAGTTACCATGTGTTAACTAGTGAAGTGTATTTATGCTGATGTGTTGGCTTGTAAAGGTAAAACCTTAGTTAAACTGGTTTTATGCTAGTGGAGCGCTAATAACTGGTGGCTTGAGATTCTGAGATTCATTGTGTACTCTTGGTGTCATGAATAAAGCTGAATGGAAGTCATTCCATATTAAAGTTAATCTCTCATGGAAATGCCATAATACCACTTGGTCTCTTGGGGCTTAAATTAAGTATGTTGGTCCTGGGTAGTCATGATTCAGTGCATTTCACTGAGCTGCCACATCATGTGTTTTGAAATGTGTGAATATACATCTTTATAAGCTAGATTTATAATTTGGCTCCTATTGTTTATAATTTATTTTTACTCTGATGTAATTGGCACCTTGAAGTTCTGAAATTTGAGTCAGAGATGTATGCTCTGATGTCTCCAAACCAGTGGTGGATGCCAGGAAGGCTTATGAGTAGGAGATGCATCAGTCCAGATGAGGGTTGGGCAGAGTTCAGCCCATGGGCTGGATTGGGCCTGCAGTGGACTCCATTACCCAGTAAGCAACTCCTCCTGGCTACCTGTGCTGGACCCAAACCTGCTGCCCAGGCCCGTTTACCCCACACCCAACACTGGCAGGGTGGCTGGGATGGGGCTGAAGGCAGCGCCGGGGAGACCCTGGGATCTTGAGAAGACCAGGGCCAGGGCAGAGCTGTGATCTGCTGCCCACATGCTCCTGCAGTGAGTGCGGGTTTGGCAGGCAGGGGTGTGCAGGGAGCGGATCACGGTTTGCCCCAGCTCCGTGCTGTCACTGCTGCAAGATCCTGACCCTGGAGCAGCTCCCTGCCCAGCTGTGTGCCCTGCTCGCACCGCTTCTGGCTGGTCTCCCTGGAGACCCTTGGAGTGTCAGGGCTGTAGATATTGACCAGATTCAGAACAACCCCCTGTATTTGGACTTGCAGATAAAGACCTGGCCTGGCACCACCTCAGCTGCCTGAAGCATCTTTGGCTGCAGGTGTGGAGAGAACAGGGTGGCAATCCTCCATCACATGGAGACATGCAAGGTGTTTGAAATAGACCCTGTTCCCCCACTCTAGCTGCCAGCTGGCTTCGGCAGCTGGAGTTGTGTGGGTCTCCTGTAGGAACAGCACAGAGTATTCCTTTTTCCAAAGGTAGGAAAGTACTATGGAGACCCATCCTGAGGGTCATGATGATGAGAGACCTCATCTGGGGGGGATGTTGGTAGGCATAACGAAGCTTTCATGGATGGGCAACACAAGTTGTAGGGCCTGCAGCAATCCTGCTGTGATCCCATAGACATAGAGGGCATCATGGAAGCTGCAGGCCTGCTGATAGTTTTTTGTCATTGTGTTACTTGTTCCCTCGGCCCTCCCCAGCTAGAACCTTCATTGTAGACTGGATCAGGCTGCACCAGAGCTAGCATGCAGGGTGGGTCTGGTGGGGCACCTCATACAGTGCATGTCTTGTACCACGTGCCGTGTGCACAGCCAGTATAGCCTTATGTACCACATGCAGCATGTGTTGGCCCCTCTCTGGGGCTTGCTCTGCACATGGTGCACAGGGTGCATGCCACATGAGGCACCCAGCTGGACTGGCCCTGCATGCTGGCTCTGGGACTAGTTCAGTTTAGGCCTCAGGCTGTCCATGTTCAGTGCCCATCAGTCAGTGTCCAGTCTCCATGCAACACACCCTATGCGACACATACCTCATGCCAACTCCCTGTGCTGCCTGCAGTGCCCCTGGCACCAGTTCCAGCCAACATGTCAGACCAGCTCCACGTGCCCCAAGACCAGTGGACCAGATCATAGGGTTCCTCAGGCCATGCATTTGACACATCTGAACTAAAAGCCTCTAACATTAAAACTTTGAGAGACATCAATTCTTGAGTTCTTGAGGAGAAAGTTTTGATTTTTTTTTTTATTTGCTGCTTTAAACTTTTTTTTACAGAAACTTGTAGCCTTAAAAGATGGTAAACAGCTAATACCTGACCCTGCTGCTGGCACATTGTCTCACCCTGCCAAAAGAAAAGTTCCTGACACAGAAAATCAAGAAGTAAAGAAAATGAAAGGTAAAACAAAAGAGTTATTCAGTGTGTTCTGTTCCTGAACTTAAAATATGTACCTTTTCAATTTCTTTAATGCAGTAGAGAGGCACTTGGATTGCTTCTACTGGCATTAATTGCATTCAAAGATAGTGAAATTGAGAGGTTGTTTATGAAAATTGTGTGGAAACAAATGTGCTTTGGAATTTGTCACCCTCAAAGTACTATTTTTGTGTTGTCAAAATACTACTTGTATTTATTTACCACCGATTCACCACGACCCATCATCTTAACCTTCTTTAACTGTGAGGAATGTGAATAAGGTCAGAGTCATGCAAGCAGCATTGAGTAGATGTGGGGTCAGGGCTCTGCATGCATTGGTTTGTGGAATATGTATAGTAGTGCTGTGCTGGCACAGCTTTCAGCACATTATTGTAGTGCAAGGTGTTTTTGCATATTTTTATGTAGGAAAAAATGATAACAGTGATTTTTGATGGTTGGAGTATGTTCTATATAGAAAAAGGTCAGTAGCAAAGTGATTTTATAAGTTTGTTACAACAGAGCGTTTTTAAGGTCATGCTAACTAACAAGTTATTAATGAATTCGTCTAACTTGAGAATGACAGTCTTTGGAGAAAAATGGAGTTTAACTGCCTCCCTTCAACAAAACAACAATAACAGCCCCCCGTTCTACATTATGTAGTTTTGTGCGTAATTGTTATTAATAGTAAAGAAAATAAGAACGAGCACCTAACTTGTAGCAGTTCAGAAGTCATGACAGCAACCCCCAACATTATATAATGTACATTTTCTTTATTTTGTTTTTTTCTCTTGACTGGTAATAAGTGATTCTTGATTTACTTTTTCAGGTTCAAATGACCAGACACAGACTTCTACATCTGGGCAAGTATATTTTTTTCATATGTGATTTATTGGTATTTTTTGTAGGCCCCTGCTAGCTATGTTTTATCCTGTTTTCCCCATCGTATCTCTGTACTTAGGCTACCAGCTTTTGGTTGATTTTTAACATAACTATAATGAATTTCTTTAATACATTAACTGTGGATAAAATATATGCAAGTTACTTTGAGTGTGGTGTGTGACTAAATCTATGTGGTGTCAAAGGAAATGACAGGTCAATCTTTTTTGCGTTATTCCCTCTGTAGGATGTCTTTTTATTGACAATTTAGTATTACATAATCCAGAAGTAGCCCAAAAATATGAGCTGACCTCACCATTTCTGGTGAACTTCAGAAGAAAACCATAATTTTGTGTAGATTTTTAATTGTTCAGTGTGTTCTGTTATGTAGATAATAGTGTACACCAAGTACCGTATTTATTCAAATATAAGATTAACCCCAATATAAAACAACCCCCCAATAATTGCAATAATTTAATTCTGTATATGGAAAATGTATACATTTGTTATAGTTTTCCAGGTATAGAATCTAATTATTGGAGATTTGCCCCTTCTCAATGCTACAGCAGGGAAAATAAGGTTGTGGGGGGTCAGGTGGCTCCCTTGTCCTCTGCAGCCTTCTGCCTCCCCCCCATTACTGTCATATCCTGCTCTCTGAGCATATGGAAGCGAGGGGAAATTTTAAAACACTGACTTTGAAAGAAACATACCTGTAGTAATTTGCATACAGGTTTCCCTTGCTTTATGCTGTACATGCGATCCTGGAAAATGGCACATAACTCGAATTCGCATAAAGGGAACCCACTTTACAATGTAACAAGTAGAGATACTTTCCAAGACCTCGGCTGTACTGACCCCCAGACCCATTTTCACCACTTTTACAAGACAATTTTGGTACTCACCAACAGCAGACAGTACACACAAGCACAGGGCATATCATAATGGGGATGGCGACTACAGAAACATGTATTGCAGACAATGAGCGAGGAGCACAGATCCATACAGGAGACTATATTTTGGTGCGCATCACTTGCACAATGCACCGCACAAAGCAGCTGACTGGGGGCTTCTACCACACCAATTGCATAAGAGTGAATTTACCTTGCATATAACGAATTTTTGGTATAAAAAGGGTCATTGCATAAGAGCGAATTCGCACATAGAGAACCTGCATAAAGCAGGGGAAACCTGTATAAGTAAATTACTGTGGGTACCCATAGACTTAGTTCATCCAAGATTGATGCATTTTATTTATTTATTTTTTTAACTTTTCCAAGCTTTAGTGCAGGTTACTCCATAAACACACTTGTAAGCATCACTCTGGTGCCTACTTAGATATAGTACAAACTATGCATTGTATTCATCCAAAGCCAAAAGTTTCATGATTTACCATATAGTTCATTGGGCTAGACCAGGGGTGGGCAATTATTTCAGGTGGAGGGCCACTTACTGAGTTTTGGCAAGCCATCGAGGGCTGCATGACAGGCAGCCAGGGGCAGATAAATATTAATTTTCTAAATTTTTTTAGGGGTCCCACAGGCTGGATAGAATGGCCTGGCGGGCCGCATGTGGGCCGCATTTTGCCCACCCCTGGGCCAGGCCCTAGCAGAGTCAACAGTATTTCAAACCATGGTGACTCCATAGCTCAGCACTGCTCAGTATGCGTTTTGTCCCCACCAGGGAAGATCCATGTGCTAATTAGGAACTGGGTGTTCTTGTCCCAAGTCCTGGGATCCTCTAAAAATGTATATGTAGGTGAAACATAGGGTAACCTGGCTTGGTTCCACTTTGTAGAGGGTGGGGCCACACTAATTGTATGCACCAGGCTGACAGAGGTGGTAACAGAGGGATTTTTGGGGGGAACTGTTTGGGGCCCTGTTTGGTGATGTTTGCCAGTCATTTAAGGCTGGTGAAGCGGGGAGGGGGGAGGAATGAGAGAACCTCATCTTGTATTTGAGTAAATATGGTAAATGGGTTTCATATACTTTTATCCAGTTACAAGTGTTCACATTCTATGTCCTGTCTTAGGCTACCCACAAACTTTTTTGATGAACCAGAGCAAGCAGGTACAAAAGGACTGCTCTCAAAGGGTTCAGCTCCCACAGTACTGCCTGGAGATGATGATGATAATGATCATGATAACGATGACGAAGAGAAGGAAGAACAAAAAGGTGATGCTAGCAAATCTAGCGCACAAAAATCAGAACTTCCACCTCCAGCTCAAGAAGCAGTAGCTAACACTTTACCAGCAGGTAACTGAATTACACAGCATAACATTTGGTAACAAAAATGCTGCTTGCTAACGTGTTACAAATGATGCCAGACCTTTTCTGATTTAATACAGCTAGCACTTGAATTAGTAGTTATGGGTGTGTTCTGTTTGTTTCAGTTATTTCTTGTCTAATTTTTCTTTCTTTAATAGCTTTTCATCTTGATCTATATAGAATTTGTTTAGATGATTATATGAGCTAAAGCTTCCCATGTAACAGATACTCTCCAAGTTTATAGCATACACTATTTTGTTAGCATGTCAGTCATTTTGTATTGCATTTCTCCTTCATCCTATTGAAGTTTGTAGACGTAAAATATGTAATCATACACTTCATGTCAATTATTTGACCTATTCAAGAGGAGTATTGTCTGGCTAGATTTTTCTTGGTTAGTAGCATCGTCCCTTACATTTCTCTGTAGTCAAATTTTTTTGTGGAGATTTGAATAATAGTTTTCTGTGTCCTTTCTTTTAGACTTCTTTGACAATGGAACTGTATCTGCTCCTATAGTTTCCCATTCTGGGTCCATACAGAAACCAGAAGTACAAGAAAAAGCAGTGGAGAGGTAAATTAGTCCAATCAAATGTTATTACATTGAGGAATGCAAACACTTTTTACTCTTCCAGGTAACACAGACAACTTGATAACATGTAGGCATATCATATTCAAAACCGTTTTAAGGAAAACCTGTTTATTGGTTCTTGTATAAATGTTCCTTCATAGCAGGATGTCAAACTCACCTTGCACCACTGGACTGCATCCAGATGCTGACATGCAGCAGTGTCAGCTCCAACCTGGGGCACGTAGCATAGTTCTGCCTCCCACTGTGTCCCCTGTGCTGTGGCAGTGGCGATGGGCAAAGTGTCTGGAGGGCACGCAGCATTGTATCAGCCTTCACTCCCTCTCCTGTTTCTGATTACCATGTCCACCAAGGTCCAAGGACCCTTGGTTCTGTAGCAGGCCACTCTCCCTGGCTATGCTTCCTGACTTGGAGTGGTTAGCCAGATAGAGTGCCTCTGTGGGCTGAGCCTGCCTGTGGGCCATATGTTTGAAGCCTCTGTTTATAGTAAATTACCTTGTTGTAAACACTGGCTAAGGGTTTCAAAATAGGAATCTAAAGTAGTGGTAGAGCTGTTGGAATTCTGAATATGGGTCTACATCCCTTTTAGCTTCCTTTTAATTTTGACCTAGCTCTATTATCTCTTCAGTCAGACAGGTTTTGTTGTGATTAGTGTCAAACTGCCGCTGCATGTGGGGAAGTAATAGGCTCTTACTTGCTCCTCATTTAAACTATCATGGACTTCTGTTCCTGTTGCTTTGTCTGTGGAATTAAAATTTTGATCAATAAAACATTGGCACAAAATAAGTCAGCATTTTAATATTCAGGAAAGAAAATACCGCAGAAGCATTGCCAGAAGGATTCTTTGATGATCCTGAAGTGGATGCAAAAGTGAGTAATTCTTGTTTTTGTTTGTTGTGTTTTGCCTCGCTCTCAGTAATTCTTTTGAGTGTTGGGTTGGGGAGGCTTTTCAGGAAATTCAAACTAAAATAAGCACAAAAGACTTAACTAAGAGAGGTTTATTCTGTTTGTCTATTAACTGGAGCAAATGTAATGTTGATTCTTTTCCATTTCATGTGGTGTTCGACCAGTCTCTCAGATTGGCTTTATTCCTGTGAGCTAGCTGCAGTGCAGTACAGCTCCTTTGTAGTTAAAAGAATTTTTTTATTGAAGCAGGAAGCACTGAAACTCAGGAGTTGTGGGTTATGTTCCCAGCTCTAGGATTGCCTGTTGGCTGGCCATTGGTAAGTAACTTGATTGCATGGTGCCTCAGTTTCCCCATCTGTCAGACAAGGGTAGTGATATTTACTGCATACAGTGCTTTGAGATCTGCTGATGGAAAAAGTGCTTGACAGTATTTGCATTATAATGTCTTCTGGAGCAAAAATAAGGCCTCTGGCCATTGTTACATTTGTTGTGCATTGTATACAAGTATCACACAACAGATGGTAACATGTCATATATAAAACCATTTTATGCTTGCATGAAAATGGTGCATCAGCTACAAAGAAATTGCTTATTGAGAGACTCTTTTTTCTGTACAATTGATGATTTAAAAAAAAACTTGATAGATTGCATACCTCTCTTTTCCAGTGTTGTCTTATCGAAGTGGCAAACAGAGCAGTGGGCTGGAAATCATTAACATGTCTATTTCTTTGGGAGGGGGAGGGTTGTTTTCTGTTTTTCTATTAAGTCAGTTTCTGTGTTGAACTTGCCTTAGAATGTTCTTGCAGTGCTTACATTAGACCACATCATAGAAACACAGCTGTTTCTCAGTAACTAAAGCAAATACTGTATCTCCGTTTGGTTGATCAATGTTTTCTGATAGTCATGCTCAACAGGAGTAATAAGTGTTAACACAACAGACCAAGAATGAAAGAACTGTACTAGAATGCATCCTGTTCTTTAATTTTTCTTTATACACTCCCTCAGTCGCCCTCTATTTCTTACTGGACAGTGCCCATTTTATTTTCTCTCTCAGCAGCTGCCAGTGCACTGTTTATGCTGGTTGGTGGCATGTGCCCTGAAATGGGCATACCTCATCTTGAAGTATGTAATGGGAAAGGATTATAAAATATTCTTTGCAGGTCATAGATTCCTGTACTACAGTATAGTAATTTCGGAATTTTGTGCCACAACTGAAGTAACTGTGTATATATCTTTTATTAAACCAACTGAGTGGTTGGAAAAGTTCTTTGCAAGCTTTCAGGTGCAATCACCCTTTTTCAGGCATAGGGAATTTCTGCTGTTCTGAGATCAGGGAGAACAGCAGAGATTCCCTGTGCCTGAAGAAGGGTGACTACGCCCGAAAGCTTGCAAAGAACTTTTTTCCAACTACTCAGTTGGTTTAATAAAAGATATAACATCTACCCAAAGAACCTTGCCTGCCTATGTCCTTAGATCAACACGGCTATAACCAAAAATCCAGCATGTACATATCTGGAATGGGCAATGGGCACTGATGTCTCAAATTTGGCTAGTGCAGTTGTACATCTGTTTTTACCTACAGTAGTATCAATGTCACTGGTATTTTTCCTACTGGTCTATATGAGTTCTGCTGGACCCACAAGATTAGCAAGAGCATCATATTGTCTGCACCACATCTCTGTACTAAGCCGAGAGGTGTGATTGCCTCTTGTGGTAAACTTAAAATGACTTGGGGGTGATGGGGGTGTATTTAGACACCCCCCCCCCTTAATACTTATGTGTAGATGAGGGGATTGGGATTATAGATGGTAATATCTCAGAGGGACTTGTGATTCTAGTCGTATGCTAGCTGCCAGTGTGGAAGAGAAGGTAGAGCTCTGCTGGTCATGGGGACGTGCTCCCAGCAGGAAGGTCTGCCAGGGCACAGGTGTAAACCTAGCTGAGTGACCTCTGTTCGGTTCACATGCTCAGCTCACATAACATAATTTATGGACCTGGACTATAGCAAAAACCATTTGTTTATAGCCAGGATCACACTGCTGTAGTCCATCAACCTCTTCCATTTTAGCAGACTGTCACAACATTGATATGTGTCAATTTGGATGTAGCTAAAGTGATTCTGTGCTGGATAAAATGTTATGAGGCACAGCCTACTTCTGTCATTTTTGAGTGTTTAAAGTGTCAGGTCTTTGAAATTTGTGGCTACTTGCAGACCTAAACCCCCCCCCAGTGCTTTACTTTAAACTTCATGTGCTCCTGTGCCAAGCCCAGCATATGTCCAGAAGTTATTTGGACCCTGCTAACCCAACGTCTGTACGGATCGGGTGTTTTAGTGGGGCTTTTTTGGTGCTATATAATAGCTGGTTGACTCAGCTGTAGATAAAAGTGCCAAAAAGCCCCGCTGAAGTGCCTGATCTATACGGATGCTGCAGAGCTGGGTCGAAGTAACCTGCTGCGTCTTCTGATAAAGTCTGTGGGTCTGTTAAAGTCTGCAAACAGCCTGTATTGATACCTGAGCCTATTAAAGTATTTAAAATGTTGAATCAGATATATATTTCAAAGAAAAGTAATTCTGAGTTGTTTAGAGTGTAAGTTTTTTATTATAAGAAATACACAATCATGGACTACAAAAGACATTCACAATACATTACACAGTGCATACAAGCATAGTAGAAATAACTGCCTAAAAGAGAAAGTTGAAACTGTTATTTCCTAGCATCTAGTTTGCTTTGACAGTTCTTTAGTTTAATAGATCTTATTTCCTATTATTGCATAAACAGTCAGAAATAAAGCATGGAGATCATTGTCTTTTTTTTACATCTTCTTAAAAGACAGGGAATGGAAAAAGAAAAAGTAATGTAAGAAAGAGAGCCTTGCATATTATTCTGTTCAGAGCACTTATTTCTTTAACTCCCTCTCTCATCCTAAGCACAGGCTCAGATATTATTTGACATATGACAATCATATGACAAACTCGTATGATTTATGTCACAACATTTGTTGAGGTTCTAAGGTCCTGAGCCTTGTAGGTTTGTGATATGAGGACAGACTGTCTGATTCATTTGCTAGTCATGCATCTGCTCACTTAAATTTAGATCCCAGCCTATATACTCCTCTGTGTAGGAAGACCTGTGTTCCAGATTTGTTCCCTGGAGGCAGATCTTTTATTTTGTTTCCCTCCCGTGCAGGCAGATCTTTTATTTCGTTTCAATTCTAGCATCATTTTTGGATCCATTATTCTCATGGCCCTCCAGAGTAAGTAATTCATGTTTATACCAGGGGTGTATAACTCACCCCTTGTCCATGGCTGGATCTGCAAAGCAATGGCAGTGGAGCCAATGGTGCAAGCAACTAAGGGTTGAGCAGCTGCAGGGTGAGTGGGGCTGTCAGCACAGTCCTTGCCTGCCCATCTGCTGTTGGCAGCCATATCTACCAGGATCTCCATTTCTGTGGTAGGCTGTCCCCCCAAATTCACTCGCCCACCAGTTGTTCAGCTTGCCAGATGGGGTACCTTGATTGACTGGATCTAACCTGTAGGGCATGTATTTGACACCCCTGCTCTGTACTGTTGGAAAGGTGGGATTATAGGCATTAAGGTGGTATGTAGCTGTCCTGGTCCTTATGATGGCCAGTAAAATTAACTTTGATTTTGAAGGGAAGGGAGAAACAGTTAAGCCAGTAAGTGGAATTACTGTAGTTTTAAGATAGATACCTCAAAGCTCAAGAACTGGATTAAGCTGCTGGGTGGGTATCATTTGGACAGCTGGTGGTTTACAAACTGTAACTCAGAATGGTAATGGGATACTCAAAACAGTTTAAGTCCAGGCTGCCTTTTCTAGATGGAGGTATCTGCCGTCAATATTGTCATTGTATGTTACACAGACAGCACACATTTTTTTTTTCCCTCCAAAACAATGAAAGATGCCTGCCTGCACTATCCTGTTGGTTATTTAAGCCAAAGAGTAAGTACCCTCATGCTCAGATCTTCCCAGTAAACAGCAAAATATATATCCTGTTTATTTTGCTTTTTTACAGTGCCAGCAAGACTTGTTAGAGATTAATAGTCACTAAATAAGCATGGTTTCTCGTGTTCTATAGGTGCGAAAAGTTGATGCTCCAAAGGATCAGATGGATAAAGAATGGGATGAATTTCAGAAAGCAATGCGACAGGTCAACACAGTAAGTAACAGAACCTGTGTTTATTGCTTCTAAGTACTGTACACTATTGAAAAACTACTGTCCCATGCAGATTAGTAGAATGAGTAACACTGTATTTGACAGGTGCTTGTTGTTAAATTGACTGTACAGCTGCATGAAAAATATCCTGTCTCTTCCACTTGAAATTAAGTAGAAAGAGATTTTGATGACAAATGTATCTAGCTAAATTGGACATAAATGAGATGGTAGGTACTTCTTGTCAGCTTCCCAGATCCAAGCATTGGACCATATTCTTAGCTTCTGCTTTAATAGTTTTTCACTTAAATCTACTAAAAACTTAAATTATAAGTTGTTAATTAAACCATATAATTAAACATTCTGAATATGTAGTTTGTCTTTCTAAGACATGCTAGCCCTTATAAGAGCTGCAAAAAGTGGATAATCTGGTTTTGGAAAATTTTACCTATATACATCCAGATTGGCCCCAGTTTTCATCACCCTCATTTCCTAGTAGTTATAGTTGTTTGGAAGTCTCTACCCATAGAGGTTTCAGCTGCTTACTGAGGTCCAGTGTAAAGGATGTGGTCATAAGTACCAGCACTCTCACTTATCATGTTTGCAGACTTCTGGTTGAAAATAAGTTATCATACATATATTGCTAAGAAAACTGTTGTTAAACAATATACCATTACTCTTCAAAGCACTCAACATTATAGACAAAGTGAACATTTATACAGAAACAATAGTGGATATATTTGTTAACAATAGCCATTCATAAACTTCTTCAGCATGGAAGGAATCTTCTGTTATGCATGGACCATTGGTTGCATAGCATCTTCCAGGCACTCAGATTTGAGAAAGTATATGCTGAAAAAAATAACAGGTTAGAAATATTTTGGGATCCAGTGGACTTGTACTAGTACTTGTAAGAGGACTACTGTCTAACTTTTCTTCCCCTGGTCTGTTGCATCTTAAGTCATTGGATATATGTACTACAAAACAATATTATTGAATTTAAAAAATTCAAAAGGAGAAAGACTCTTTGGGGTAAACTTCTTTCACTTTAAAAAAATTTAGCATCTTTTTTCTTAAACACCCTTTACCAATGATTGTTAGCTCAGAATCGCAACCTGTTTTTTTCTATACATTACCTTCTATCTGGGGGAAGGGAGCATATCTACAACAGACTGACTTTGTTGCAACATACCATCCTCTCTTGTTCTTAATCCTAGTGCTTTTTTTTTACTAAAAGAAGACTGAATGGTACTAAATTTACTTATAGCTTTTCTGATTTAGATTTCAGAAGCAATAGTGGCAGAAGAGGATGAAGAGATACGATTGGATCGTCAGATTGGAGAAATTGATGAGCAGATGTAAGTAGATCAGACTTTCACAAACTTTGCCTTCTGTCCTCCCATGAGAGAGGTCATATATTTGAATACGCTCTAAAAATATTGCTGATGCTAATTTTTAACGTTTTGTCCTTTTTGTGGCAGTGCTTTTGAATAATCATTGATGTTTGAGTTTGAATAGGAAAAACAACTTTTTTGCCGAAAATGGTACTATTTAAAAAAAAAAAAAAAAAAATTTGTATAACAGTATACAGCTATTTACTCAGATAGTACTGGGAGCTCTGAAAAAAAGATAAAGGGCACACTAACCTAATGAAATTCAAGGAAAGAATAAATGATCTTGGAACAGTGTTGATTCCTTTTTCTGTGACCTATGATTGGTAGCCCTGTCATTTTGTATACACTCCTATGAGCACATATAATAAGCATCTTGCAGCAAACCACACAAAGTAGGAGCATAACTTTCGTAAGGAAGAAGATACATCTTAATTGTTCACTTCCTGTGCTGAAAATGTACTACATAGAGAGTAACTGTCCCCTTACATCTAACATAAGATGCATGAAAGCTTTTACCAAAGGATGTACTTCATCATGTGAACTCTCACATGCTGCAGTGCTGGACTGAGATCTCTGAACGCACATTAGTCTTAAGAAAGAATAAGTAACAAAGGTTAATTTAGCAGGTGATGGTACTTGCTATCAGTTTGCACAATATGTGCAGTAAGTTAGCAATTCTTGTTGCAAAAGTATTGATTAAAGAAAAGAAAAAGATTTTTTAAAAATAAATAAGACAGACAGCTGTTAAGCGAAGATGGATTAAAACTGAAGGAACCAGTTAACCAGTTTAACAAATGCAGGAGTAACTGGTGTGGTAATGAAGACAGTATCAGATTTAAGTTGCATCAAGGAGCAAATTTTCAGTAGTGACATTGTAATTTGAGAGGGCTTGGGCCAAATTTCAAAGTGTTTTAACGGCCACTTTTTCCAGAACTTTTTAAAATGTCATGGTATGTGGGATGAAATGCAGCAATTTGCAGATGGCTGCAGAGTTCTTGCCCTTAAATTTCTTGATGAAAGGAGAAGTCCTAATGGCTAAATTTGTAGGGTTGTGTTCTATATGGACCAGTATATGTGAATTAACAAAGCATATCTGCTGTAATACACAGCAGCATTTTTTGAAGGCTACTGTGTTTTCTAAAGAAACTTTTTTCATTTGGATCACATCTTCAGACCAGCCTGGGAAAGAGTCCCTGCAGAGCACCTTTAAATGTATACTTTTCAAAATCAAAAGCCTGTTCTTAAGTTTTTGTTCTCAGGAGCTTTTAAAATTTAAAGTCCAGCCACCCTCAAAAGTAACTTTGGGGTTTTGCCAGAATGGCATGTGTACACTGGTAAAATAGAATCTGAGGAGCATAGTGCCAACCTCTTTTTCAGGTGATTCTGTTTTAGACCAAGTGACCCTCACAAAGTGCAGGTATGTCCTGCAAAGTAAGTCTTCAAAGATGTGGATGCCAATTTTCATGGTGAATCTGTCCTAGGTTCTGATTCTCAGCTGTATAAACCACCTTTGTCTCTGGAATTCTAGCTGCATTTTTCCTATGCACTGTCACCAATAACAGATAATCTACACATCATATTAGCCCCTCAGTATTGTCTGTATTGTCTCGGGCCCTTCCTGTTTCTTCACTGTTGCTGGCTGGGATGTTAGTGAGCAATTCTTTTGCTGATTCATAAGCAGGCAAAAGGTTCAGCTTATGTTCTCTTCCCTGTGTTATGCCAGGCAAGTAAGTGAGAAAGGGGTACGAATGCTTTTAAGTAAAAAAAATCAGCAATGATTTGGTGTTTGCTATTGAACAGAATCAGTTCCTTGTAAGAATTAACTTAACTTGTATGGTGATTGCAGAATAGAAATGTATTTTAAAGAAGAGGGCCCCAAACTGGTCAGCAGACCTCTGATAGTACTGTACACAAGGCCATGGTTAGTTGTTCATGGAACATAATAGGGCCTATGCACTTTTATGGTGTGCTCTGTCCAGTTTGATATGGGTGCACGGTGGTTCTGAGAAATTTTGAGGGCTGGAATTTGCTGATTGGTCCAAAAAGCTTAGGAGGCTGTCTCAAAGTGCATGCAAATTTTTGAGAGTCAGACAGGTTCAGAGGTTTTGTTTTAGCATGTAATGTTCACGGTAGTGGATTTGCCTCCTGTGAAAAATGTCTCCTCTTTGCATCACAACTGCCAAGAATGATGCCTTGAAATGAAATAGAAGTCTAAAAAGTTGAAAAGAATGTGGCTTGAGCTTTTTCTTTCTGTCTTGCAAAAGGATTCTGTATCTTGTTTTAAGCAAATTGTCATAGGATTGAGAGAGATCCATTTAACCTGCTGTTTGATCTGTGACTAGCTTTGATTTTTCTGTAAGAGAAGCTGTGACTAGCCACTCCCCCTCTTCATTCTTCTGTTTCAGCATGTGAGCAGGCCATAACAGTTAACTAAATATTTTTACCTTTTCATAGTGAATGCTATCGTCGTGTTGAACAGTTGCGTGACCGTCAGGATATGATGAAGGAGAAAGTTAAAGAGGCCATGAGATTAAGAGCAATCCAGCAGAAAGAGGATGAGGATATTGGTAGTGAAGATGAAGAAGAATTGCAAGACTTGTTGTCTCAGGACTGGAGGGTGAAAGGGACTTTGTTGTAGCATTTCAGTGACCTGGTCAATATACTGTTGATTTGTAGTATGACTTTCTTTACCAGAAGCAAACATTTGTTAAAATATTTATTTTAAAACAAATCATCAGAGATGCTGAAAAGCCAACTGCAAAAAAGTCTGTCTTTATCTTTATAGATTTAAAATGTACTATTGATGTAAAAATTGTATATTGTAAATGTTTTCTAAGGCTGAATGTAACTTTCCTATTAAAATTCTTACTATAATAGCCTACTGAAATTATTTTAACAAGAAAGTAATTTTATAGTCAGCAGGCCATTCTGGGAGTATAACATAAATTTACAGGATGCTGGAGTTTAGGGCAACCCTAGACTATAATTCAATGCTAACCAAAACAGTGGTGGATTGCACATTGAAAAACAAAAAGCTCTTGTTGCAATCCTGTCCTTTTTAGAAGCTGCAGTAGCCACTTGTGCATACATGATCTTCCAGCGCACAATCTCTCATAGCTGCTCTGTTGCATGTACAAATGACCTAAAAATCCAGCAGATTCCAGAAGGGATTACAAAGCAGTGCATGAATTATTTCTCCATTCTATCCAGCAGAGAAATGGTTGAAATTAGTTTTTTTTTTTTTTTTTTTTTTTTCAATTCAAAAAACAACATATGGGATAAAATAATGAACTGGATATTCATTGTTTCTTGAGTAAAAGGGAAGTAGGAAACTATTTTAGTGAGTACTGGCCAAATTACGAGCCACTGTTTTCAAATATATATATAATTTAGAGCTTCCAAGTCCTTAAAACCCTCAGATTTACTGAGCTAACCAAGGACTCCCACAAAAGTAGTTAGTCTCAAAGGGCATTTTTACACGTGTTCCAGGAGCTATGGGGGATGGGGTGGGCACTTTAATTAGCAAGCCATGCTAATTAAGCACCCGAGCATCCGGTGTATCAGTGTTCCTGTGCTGAAAAGTGACAGTGGGGTGCTTTTAAACTGAAGCTTGTTGAACAAGCTTTAGTTCAAAGTGCCCCACTGCCACTTTTCAGCATGGGACACTGATACATGTGACACTAGAGTCTGCTGGGGTGCATTAATTCCTACACTCCAGCAGACTCGATCAAATCTGCTCTGGTGCACTGGATTTCCAGTGCTTCAGAGCAGGGTCCCTGCAGGTGTGTAGGAGCCCAAAATACAGAATTCTGGGAAATCATTTTATTCAATTAAGTTTTTATGAGATGGAAATATAACATGTGACTTAGTTTGAAGGGGGGGGGTAGAGAATCAAGGTGGGAGTAGTTTTTTTGCGATGCACATGATTTAAGATGGTCTGAGCTAGAGACCATGTTATTTAAAGGGGAAAAATAAAACCCTGCTGTTCAGTAGGATTACTTCTATTTTGCAAAGAACATGAATGGTCTCTCTTTGCCTTTTTGCAAAGAGCATTTTGCTTGGGAACTGAGGCCTGAACTCTTTGAACTGGTACTGGATCTCTGGTAGTTCCTGTTCCCAGCATTCCATCTATACACTTAATATAAAGCTGGAAAGTAAAATTCAAACTTCTTAGTAGAGCAGTGTATTCTCACCCCATCTCCTGGATTGTGCCTGTGAGACTTGTCAATTTTCTTAAATAAATATAAAACCTAGTTCAGCCAAATTCAAGCATAATTTTGCAACTAATGATCTTGTATTGTCCAAATAAGCACTAGGGCTATTCAGAAATCTGCTAACAGTGGTCACTGTGTCTCTGGCTTAAGTGTCAATACAGTTAACGAGCAGCTTGGCAAATTACTGTAGAATCTAAGAGGGCAAAGAATAACAATTACACTTTGAATATTGGTGTTAACAAAGATGTAATACACTGCAATTAGTGATTAAAAATGAGGCATCTCCCTTCTGAGTTAGCAGGGTGGAGTTGGGAGGATATTTATTTCATAACTAGCAATGTTGCAATTTGGGCAAAAGCTAACGGTACAATTATTTTACTTACTTTCTCCTGCCTTCTAGTCCCCAAGAATTCTTCCACTGACTTCTCCTTTAGCATTTCTAGCAGGCTTAATAGCAGAAAGAGGCTGGAGCTGCCGCCACCAGGTTCTGGCTGTCTGCAATGTGGTTTCCTACATTGGGTTTAGTAGGTTCACTTGTCTTTGTGTGGAATTGATGAAGCCCAGTTCAGTGACAGACCCTCAATGCCATAGCTGATTCCGAATGCAGATTGTAATGAGCATCATACACTTTAATAATGTTAATAATACTAAAATGGTTTTGTATATCTTATAATTTTATGGGTCATGGTTATCTTCATTTTAAGTGTGTGCCTATGAATATCTTTGTTTGCCTACATAAAGAGGGTGAGAGGGGAGCTGAGTATTAAAAACAGTAAAGCTGGCAAAATCTGTTGCCTTGTTCTTCACTGATGCTTAATGGGGGGTGTGAGACATTCACTTTTAGCATCAAAGAGCTTTAAATCAGACAGTTTTAAATTCTATTCAGCATCCTTTTTAATTGACAAAACAAGAACATGTTTTTACCCTTAAACACAGGATATTATGAATTATTGGGGGGAGCGGTGAAGGAAGCATTTGGTTACTAGGCAATTCCTTGTCCCTCTACTCCATAGCACTGCATTAATTTGTCTTTTTTCTTTAACAAAGGAGAAAGTTAGTGCCTCATGTATATTAAGGATAAACATAGCTTCTGGTTTTGACAGCATTGATTCTTACTGATTGTGGTGTAGTTAAGTATGAAAACTTGTTGAAGGTAATATATTAGAAGGTCTATTGATCATGGAAGCAATGGTCTCATATGATACAACTTTAAATGAAATGAGTGATAATGGAAGAGAATATGTATACCATTTTAGTTTCCAGGCATAACTTCTAGAGAGTTTTGTGACAAAGATAGCAGTGGTACCATTGCTGGCTGTGTCCTGTATCCCCTTCATGTTTAACTGCTAGTGAGACAAAAAAGCAAAAGTCCAACCTGTTTTTTAGAAGATCCTCCCATCAGAGCAGCCTTGAGGACTGCTGGGAGAAGATAATGGTTTTGATTTATCAAGCTCTGGAATTATTCATGAAAGTTGTCCAATGCGTCTGGGAAGATAACAGTTCTGGTGAGATTTCAGATTTAGGGAACAGCATTTTATATCTAATTTCTATCATACATGCTGCTATGTACGGTGAATGGTAAATTTCCAGATTATGATTAATCAAAAGGAGGAGATATTGAGTTTCTAAGACTTCTTTTTTTTAATTGGGTCTTCTGGTTTTAATTAAGAAGAGTTTGTTTGCAACTGAAGGAAGAGTTCCAGGAGCTAGTCCTGTCTAACCAAATCAGAAATGAAGAGGTGCTCTATTTGACCAGTAACATTCGGAAGACCATTTCAGATCTTTGTCTACAGATCAGACCACACTGCAGCTACAGACGGACATGTTTGTCCTAAGACAGATCTAGAAAGGTTTGTGGGATAAGAATTGCTAACAGTTTGTCCTGGGACATCATAAAGTACATCTAAATGGTTGTCCTAGGATTGAATCAATGGTAGAAACGAGGCAGTGCATTCAACCACTCGCTAAACCCTGATTTTTCAAGGGGGATGTATGTACACACCAATCCCAGGACTTTTCTGTTCTGGAACAAACACAGGCACAGCTTGTCCTGAGACAAAGGCAAGGTCAGTTCCTAGCCTAAAGGAAATAAATGAAGGGGAAAACAACAATATGTGCAAATCCTTTTCAGCATTTATTTATAATCTGTTAGACCTCTAGAGAGCTGATTAAGGGTAGCAGCGGGTGGGGCTGGAAGGGGACAGCTGATCCAGGGAGTAAAAATGCATGCAAAAAAAGGGTGGTTCCTAAGCCAGTCTGCACTCTACTCACTAACAAGAACATTCCTATATTAACAAAGGATTCTCTGCAGGAATGAACACGATTTTTAAAGTGTGCTACCTTAAAGCCTGGCTACTGGTAATAGTTAAGAACATAAGTGCCATACCGGATCAGACCTGGCCCATCTAGCTTAGCATCCTGTCTCCGATAGTGGCAGTAGTAGATGCTGTTGTGGGAGAGTGTATGAACAGGGCACATTTAGAGTGATTCATCCTGTCATGTCATCCTTGGCATTCATAGGTGTTGGTTTAAGGATGTGAGGGGATCCATCCCTGATAGCTCAATTTAATATCTGTTAATGGACCTGTCCTTCAGGAATTTGTCTAACTCCTTTTTGAACCTGGTTATTCTGTGGCAACGAATTCCACACATTCACTATGTACCGTTAAAAAAAAGTGCTGCTGCTTTGTTTTAAACTGATCTATTAACATCAGTGGGTGCCCCTCAGTTCATTTTCTAGGACTTGGTAAATAGCAGCTCCCTGTTATCCACACTTCGTGATTTTTAGGGACCTTTATACTATCCCCCCTCCACCTTCTCCTTTCCAAACTGAAAAGCTTAGTGTATCGGGCTCTGCAGGACAATGCCTACTTCATCAATCCTGGGGACTTTGGGTCAGATCCAAATCAACCTTGTTTCCTACTCAGGGCCTAGACGAAATTTAGCTCAAGGCCCACTGGAACTACCTGATGTGGTCCAGCTGTGCCTAGTTATCCTCCTGGCTTTAGAAAGACAGGCCTCCGGATATATTTCCAACACCCTCAGAAGGATTTGTGCCAGTCAGCAGTCCATGGCTTATATCTCCTCCTTGTCTCTGACTGCTTCCTCAGCTTGTCTGTTGGCAACTGTCCTGTTCCCCACTTCCCTGTTCTAGCCTTGTTTCCTGCGCTGCCTGGCGCTAAGCTCTTGCTGTTGTCTTGGCATTTATCTTGTCAGCAACCTATCTTGCTGGGATCCTTTGACCCCCAGCTGACTTGCTGCCCCTGGGGCAGGGGGCTGGACTTGATGATCTTCCAAGGTCCCTTCCAGCCCTAATGTCTATGAAATCTATGCGCTTCTATCGCAGTCCCTGACTCCTGCATTTACTGCTTGACTCCGTTTCCTGACTTTGGCCTGACTTCTGGCTTCTTTCATGCTCTTCCTTCATACTGATGTAGAGTGGTTCTCTGGGCAGCACAGCCTAGCTTGGCACCTATCTTGACCACTGCTCCTGTAGGAAGTTTGGAGCCTGTGTGGTGATGTGTTTTTGCAGTGCATGAATCAGATGAGAATTCAGTCCTACAACCTTCCTGCCCCCTGAGGTATGTGACCTCCCGGAAATCAAAAGAGCTATTCAGGGACAAAACTACAGATTGTATCTTTCATTCTTCATAGTTTGACAGGGTTCACA